CCTCCGTTCGCCAGTCCAAGAGGTAAAACGCCAATAAAAAAAATCCCTTTTTATTGATTATTTCTTTATTCCTTTTTACATATCTCTAATATAATGCATGTGTTTTATTGCTATGTGTAATCATTTACAGTATTTATTAAGAAGTTCTCGTACGTTTTTGGGCGGTGGAACTAATTATAGGAATTACAGTGTATTCTGATGGGAATATTTGACCCAAAATACGAATATTTTAACGTAAGAAGTCGGTCCTGGAGCCAGTTAAATTCGTAAGTAGAGGTTGTACTGTAAACAACACGTCAGGGGTCATGTTTCAGATAAGTGTCTCGATGACTGTGCAGAAATCCTTCTCAACCACAATTCAAAACAGAAATCTGCCCCAGAACTGGGTCAGACCTGTGGTCCCGCCCCGAAACGGGTCCGTGTGGAAAAAAGGCGTCTGCCCTGATTTGGGGTTCCGACCCCCTTTGGGCCTCTTCCGGTCTGGCTCGATCCCAACGAAGGAGCCATCCCATTTTTGTTTTTTTCTCCCCCCCCCCCTCCCTTGTTTTTATTCTCCCAGTCACGGGATCTCCTCCCCGGCCCTGAGCTGCGGCCAACATCGAAACCGCAACAGGGAAAACGAAAAGAAAATCGAAACCGGACCCGGTAAAGCTGGATTTGGCTGATTTGGGATCATTTTTTGCGGACATTTCGAGCGAAATGGGAGAAACAAACAATGGCTGCTCCTGAGGCACCGAAACACGGAGGACGGTCACAAAAGCAGCCGAATGAAAGACGACCGTTAGGCTGAACTCTAACGGATGAAAACGTATTCAATTTAATTTAAATAAAGGCTGTCAGTTGGGAACTCGGTTTAAATCAGACTCTTTTTAAACGGACGCCGGTATGTCGAAAAAAAACTGACGTAAACAAAAAACCGTTGAACGGTTTTTCTCTGGACAGTTAAGCAAAAATACAAAGCTGAAATATTTAATAACCTAAATGAATACTTACTGTTGCTTGTTTAACGGCGAGGGAGAGGAGAAGCTGAGTGTATCTCCGCTAACCGACGTACACAAAGTTTATAAGGCCGGAGCTGCTCCTGGGTCTCCGCATCTGCGCTGTGATTGGTCCGCTGCTTGTTTGTCACCGGGAAGGTCCCGCCCCTTTGATGACGTCACCGAAAAGCACGTGATTCCCTCCTCCTGGAACAGGACAACGCAACGATTGTCCCGCTGTCCTTTTTTTCGCCTAAAAGTGTTAAAAAAAACAATGTTATTGAATCACGTGTATTAGTTTTAAGCAGGTTTGAGTTCAATAAATCTATATTATTGAATCACAATGTTATGCTAAGTGCCGTAACCAGGATGGAAATAAACATTCGGATTATCAAATGAAGTTATGTCACGTTCAGTAACTAGGACAAATTGTTCAACACACGTTTAATAAAACCTGGAAAAGGATCTGACTATTTCTTATTCCGAGGAATACACTCAAGTGAACGGGGACTCAGAAAAACATGGAATCTGGACAGCGAATACAAGCTTTCTCTGAGGACAAATAAAAGTAAATAGACCAGTCTCATATCTTCAAAGTTATTCTGAAGGTACTGTTGTAAAATTGTACGTCCAAAGTACGTCAACCTTATACAGTCACCTTGTGTAATTGTACACAATCATTTTAATAAGTCAAACTCAACGTGCTTTGTTGCTGCAGAGCACGAACTAGTTTTATTTCAAAGAAATTACTTTTTCTTTGACAAAAACTACTTTTTCTTTGAGAAAAACTAGTTAAAAAACTAGTTCACGTCTGTTTATCTAAATCTATTGTCCCCTTGTAAACGTACAGTTGATCCAGCACTAACACCCAAAAGGTCTCTGTGTACTGAACAGCTCCAGAGAAAAAGAAAAACACACTCCAGAACAGGTCAACACATTTCTCTTGACATATTGATCACTGATCAGCTGCCGGTTAAACATTTCTCACTGGGATTATTAACCCGATCAGTTCAGTTTAAACTCATTTCTCATTTGTTATATGATTATTTAAATCCAAACCTGGGGGGACTAATGTTGTTGTCAGCTTTTTCTACACGTCTGGTGACAACTCTGCTGCTTACAGGTCAGCACTTATTCTAATTTTAGATTAAAGCTGCACCACAAACTCCTGTGTGAATCAACACAGGCTGGTTTGAGTCTGACAAAGGTCCTGAGGAATCCAGAGCTGGTTGATATAATCATTCAGCTCAATGGGCCCGTTTCAGGTTCTGTTTGTAGAGGGAGATAACCCGGAGGGTTAGTCCTGGAGAAAAATGTGTTTAAATCATCACCAATGTGTCTTAAATGTGTCTTAAAACAGAAATTGGAACATTAAGTCATTGTCTTTCGTCATGCCATAAGTTACACAGATATCGGTCTAATATCTTAACCCTATAAAGCCAAATGTGTCATATTTTATACGGTTTCTGAAGTCTTTTGGATGTGAGACTTTCTGCATCATTCAGTGGTAAAAGCTTTGCTCAAACCCCTGTTGTACACATTCAGATATACCTGATAACAGCCAGTAGAAGACCACACCAAAATACATTTTTGACTTATTGCACGCTAATTTGATCAAAATCATTTCTGTTTTTTTTTCTTCATATGGAACTGTGTGTGTTTTTCTTTCTTTTGTTTGTTTGTTGGTTTGTTTAACCCTTTAAAGCCCGATCCAAGAATAAAACAAAACAGAAAATTACTTTTTTTTGGTTTGAATTCCTTATTTGGCCTTTTAACAAAATATGTCAAAAGAAAAACATAAATACATTTTTGATATTAATAATTTATTACTATGCGAAAAGTCAAGATTATTTTTTGTGTAGTCTTCTGCCCCCTGTTATCAGGTGTATCTGATTGTGTACAATAGGATTTTGAGCAAAGTTTTTACCATTAAATTATCCAAAAGGTGTCAGACGCAAAATATTTCAGAAACCGTATGTATCAAATATGATACATTTGGCTTTAAAGGGTTAAGCCATTGCCTATTGGACATTTGTGTACTTGCTGTAAAATGGAAAATTAATAAACATATTCTTTAAAAAAAACACAAAAGAGTTAAAGAGTTCCGAGAACTGCTGGCAAATCAAAGTCAGAGTTAATCAATGTGTGATCATGTGACTGATAGGACTCTGACCAGCCGGAGCTGTTTACAAACCCGGGATTACATCTCCGGTTTGCTCCTTATTCCTGAAAACACGCGTGTGCTCGCTGACCATGAATGGGCTCATTCTCACAGCCGTGCACACGCTTTCTCACATTTCTCTGCCCACTGAGTTACGTTCATTTACTGACCACTGCCACTGTTCAAAGCTCACCTTAAAACGTATTTGTTCAGGACGGCTTTTTGCACGTAAAATCTCTGTATACTGGCTTCTGTCACCAATGTGTTTGTCTTTGTGTATTATTTTGTATTGTTCGATAGTTTGATCTGTTTTTTTATTCTGTAAAGCAGTTTGATCAGCGCCAGTTGTTGTAAAGTGCTATATAAATAAACACTGATTGATTGATTGATTATAATTTTACAGCAAAACGGGAAATTAAACACGTTTGAACCCAGCAAAGGTTTTGAACTTAGTCACCTTCTGGACCAGTCTCTGTCTTTTTTTTATCTATCTATCTATCTATCTATCTATCTATCTATCTATCTATCTATCTATCTATCTATCTATCTATCTATCTATCTATCTTTACATTTCTTATATTACGACTTTTCAAAGGACACACTGATATTTTAAGTTTATAACTAAGTTGTTTAGTTATATACAACTATATGTTTATCTCATTTTATTTGATGAAATTAAAGACCCTGATGGTATCAGAGAGATGAAAAATCCAAAGAAATGTTTTTTGATAAGTCTCTGTCTTTTTTTATTTATTAAATATCTATCTATCTATCTATCTATCTATCTATCTATCTATCTATCTAT